TCAAATAAATAAATAAAATCTTTAAAAAAAAAAAAAAAGGTGAAAGTTAGGACTGTCATCAAATCAGAATATAAAAGCATGATTTCCTAATTAGTAGAGCCCTTCCAAACTGAGGTTGTAATCACTTTTGTTTCACCTTGAGTTAAACAAATTTAACTCAGGTATTTAAAGTTGGTAATTCTTTTAACTTCTTTTGCATTTGTCATTCCTATATTTCTGAAAACTAATGTGAATATATTGCTCTTTAGTATTCAGCATTTCTGAGAAGGTATGTTGAAACTGTAGAAAAGTATTAAATAAAATGTGTCTGGGATGCCTGGGTGGCTCAGTTGGTTAATCGTCTGCCTTCGGCTCAGGTCATGATCCCAAGGTTCTGGGATTGAGTCAGGCTCCTTGCTCAGTGGGGAGCTTGCTTCTTCCTCTGCCTGCCACTCACCGTGCTTGTGCTTTTCTATCTCTATCTCTCTCTCTCTCTGACAAATAAAATCTATTTTAAAATAATTTAAAACAAATAAGTAAATAGATAAATAAGTAGATAGATGATAGAGAGAGAGAGGCAGGCAGGCCACTTAACAAGATAAAGTCTCACAAGGTACCCAGACGTGACTGGGCTCTTAGGAATCCAGCCCTTATCCCAAGATAAGGGAACCCAGATGCTCATTTACTTATATTGAGAAGTATTAATGCCAGGGAATTAGACACTCAGCATCCTTTGGTCATTGCCCAGATAAGATGGAAATAGGTAGATGTTCTTAATCTCTTGACTTTTTACAGAAGGTTGATGCTGCTGAGTTGCTCCGTTTGTACTTAAACTATGACCTTTTAGAAGAAGCTGTGGATTTGGTTTCAGAATATGTAGATGCTGTATTGGGGAAAGGACATCAATACTTTGGAATTGAGGTAGGCATGTATGCATGTTCCTTTTTAATTCTGTATTATCACCCTAATAAAGTCAGGATGTGAAAGTAGATTAAACTGTAGGACAATGGATTTAACCTTTACTCTTTGTAGTTATACGACTAGTTTTCTCCACAATCAGGAACTGGCACTGTAAGAGTCTCCAGTTTCTTGTTTATAAAATGGGAATACATTGCATTTTTCTCCATCAAAGAATGTAGCTTTAGTTAGTATTTGGAGGAGTGAAGTAATTAAAAACGAAATATTCTTTTCTGTGTGCCGAAGACTGTGCTGGGTCTCTGCAAGTGTTTTCTCATTTAATCCTTACAGCCACCTCTGAGAGATTGTTTTAACCCTTTTTTTAACCCATGAAGAAACAGGGTCAGAGGTTAAGTAAGTTGCCAAAGTTCACACAGATGGTAAAGAGAAGAGCCAGGTCTAAAATCTAGGTCTAGTTAAGTGCAAAGCAAAGCTCTTAAGCTCTCAGGAAAGTATTGAGAACTTTGAAAGGTGAGCTTTCCCTTTCTAAACTTTTTTTCCAGATAATTTGAATTAAATTTCAGACTGCAAATAGTCTCATCATTGACAATTTAGAGGTTTTTTTAGTGCATTTTTCCTTAATAGGCCTTAGGGCTCCTTCAAGATAAGAGGTGACATGAATTTAAAAATACATATGGATGGATGGATGGATGGATGGATAGATAGATAGATAATACATTTGATTTAACTGAGAAAAGGACAAGTTTCCCAGTTGAAAAGAGAAGCAAGGGGGTGGGAGTGGCACAACTGTGTGTCTGTGCGTGTATGTGCAATTTCTTATTGTAAAAAAGAAATAAGTAAAGAATTCTATGTTATTCAAACCTCTGAAGCTAATTGCCCAGAAGAAATGGTCTACTTTTGAGATTTTCTTCAAATAGTAGGTATTTTCCCTTTCAGTTTCCACTGTCTGCAACAGCTCCGATGGTGTGGCTCCCATACTCTTCTATTGACCAGCTTCTCCAGGCTCTGGGAGAGAACAGTGCCAATAGTCACAACATTGCTGTAAGTCAGTCCTCTCATGAGGCACGCATCTTTTATAAACCCTTGCACCAGCACTTACTCATAAAGCTTGCTCTTCGGTTCACAAGGATTAAGGGGAGAGCAGAAGCCATTTATTTCCCTTAACATGCTGGCCCAGTCCCTTTACAGAATGATTAGTTAAGCCAGATGTAGCCTTTCTGGTTCTGAGAAGCATTACTGGGGTGGGGGGATGGGGTCGCTGGGTGATGGGCATTAAGGAGGGCATGTGATGTGATGAGCACTGGGTGTTATAGGCAACTGATGAATCACCGAACTCTACCTCTGAAACTAATGATGTTCTATGTGGTGGCTAATTGAATTTAAATTAAAAAAATACTGGTGTGATTTGCATGTTTAGAAGATTCATGAGGATAACAGGATTGGGATACTGCATGTAACAGAGAAGTCTGATTTTTTTTTTTTTTTAAGATTTTATTTATTTATTTGACAGAGAGAGACACAGTGAGAGAGGGAACACAAGCAAGGGGAGTGGGAGAGGGAGAAGCAGGCTTCCTGCGGAGCAGAGAGCCCGATGCGGGGCTCGATCCCCAGACCCTGGGATCATGACCTGAGCCGAAGGCAGACGCTTAACGACTGAGCCACCCAGGCGCCCCGAGAAGTCTGATTTTAGCAGTAGTCACAGAGCAGACTCCGGTACTGAATTGAGTAAATGAAGCAGAGTGGCGAACATCTTTACTAGGGGGCGGCTGGTTAGTGAAGTCAAAGTGCTTAAAAACTTCAGTGTTTTTTGTTTTTTTTTTTTTTTTTAGTCCTTCACCTATTCTGTAATGATTCCCTTCTTTTCTCCTACAGCTATCCCAGAAAATACTTGACAAATTGGAGGACTACCAGCAAAAAGTTGATAAGGCAACACGGGATTTATTATATCGTCGGAACTTGTGATCCGAACGGTCGCCTAGCCTTTGTAGCCGCTTGGTGCCTCTTAGGGCTTGAGGCTTTACCCTGCAGGAACCCTGTATCCCTGGACAATTTTTATACCTGTAAATGATGTACACAACGTCAAGTCTGCATTCTGCGCAAAAGAGGAGGGCAGATGAGTCACAGAACCTGTGCTTGCTGGCGGTGCTAACACCCAATTTCTGGTTTTCAACCTTGGTCTCAAACAGCTGCTTTTGTATATGATTCACAAGCTTTTTTAGAGTTTCTATTTTTTTAAACTACCGAAGACATTCTTTATCTGCAAATTAAAACCCGCCCTCACTTTCCAAAATAGCCAGTGGTGGTTGGTTGGTTGTAGCTATAACCACCAGAAGCAATCACTGCAAATCCTTCCATTCTTCCCTGTCACTTTTTGTATTTCAATGGAATTATTTTGGTCCAGAACTGACATGTATTTTCTGTATTGCAAACAGAGGCTAATGATTTTGCATACTCTTTTCATTATTTATTGTGGAGTTTTTGTATGATCTTCAATAAAGTATTAAATAATTTGCCTAGATTAAACCTAAAATGATGACCAGCTGTCAAAGAAGATACCTTATTTTGAATCTGGTTCTGAGGCTAACGTTGAGTAAACTCTTGGCTAAGAAAAAAATTAGAAATTTTATCTATAAGAATAACCAATTTTGAAAGTAAATTCTGTTAACTTTTATAATTTATGATAATCAAGCCGGACTTGATCATACTACTTGTGTATAATAATGTATTGGACCAAAATATAAACTTTCCTGGTCAGATTCAGAAGTATTCATGCCCACAAATTTTGGGGAAGGTGAAAAACAAAATCTTGGATTTTATTCTGTATATTAAAATTTATCTTTTAAGGAAACGATCTGTGTATCACTTGTTTGTATGCCCTTTGACCTCTCTTGAGTTTTCCATAGCCTTTACTTTTTATACTGCCGATACCGTATTTACCTTATATACTTCAAATAACAATGTGAGCTTCACTGTGGTACCATTTACTGGTAGATACTGAGATGTATGGTTCCTTCATTTTAGCTCTGCCATGATTAATATGAAGTGTTTGCTGTAATGAGGGACTGGGAAAGCCCTTGCCCTGCAAGAGCTCTATAAACCTGTAGCTTCCAGCTGTAGCAAGAAATACACATGTATAACCAAATATACACATATAAAACCAAGAGAAAGATCTCACAGAATATGTATCCTCACTCACTATGTACCCTGATGTTTTCATGAGTGACTAATGGATCATAACCCATAGTCTGAAAAATACCAAATCCTCTTCGAGCCATTTTGGAGAACATGAAGTAACTTGGACTGGCCCTGTTCCAGAAACTTACCCACTTGTGTTGCTCATCAGAGCAGTGGTTTCCATGGTGGCAGTTCACAGGACCCTGACCAGTTTTTCCTGTTGTCAGTATTTTGGTTCAAGACCTAACCCATGCTGGAGCCAACCCAGCTCTACTGTCCATTCTCTTCTGCCTTCTTCACTCTGGTTTCCAACCAGAGCAGAAGGTGGAAATTCTTTCACTAAACTTCTCTCTCCACTTCGGGTCTGCATTTTTGTTGTTCCGGACCATGTGATATTTTAATAGTCCATAATAGCATTGTTATTCCTTGTTTTTTCCACCCCAAAATTCTCTGATTACAAAGTGTTATTAAAAGAACTCCCTCCTGTGGTCACTTCGGCAGCACGTATACTAAAAATTGGAACAATACAGGGGCACCTAGGTGGCTCAGTCGTTAAGCGTCTGCCTTCAGCTCAGGTCATGATCCCAGGGTTCTGGGATTGAGCCCGGCATCGGGCTCCCTGCTCTGGGGGAAGCCTGCTTCTCCCTCTCCCACTCCCCCTGCTTGTGTTCCCTCTCTTGCTGTGTCTCTCTCTGTCAAATAAATGAATAAATAATCTAAAAAAAAAAAAAATTGGAACAATACAGAGAAGATTAGCATGGCCCCTGCTCAAGGATGACACGCAAATTCATGAAGCAGTCCACTAAAAGAAAAGAGCTCCCTCCTTTCTTAGTACTTAGCTACCATTGGGGTGCCTCAGCGGCGCAGCCAGTGAAGAGTCCAACTCTTGATTTCAGCTCAGGTCTTCATCTCAGGATTTTGAGTTCAAGCCCTGTGTTGGGCTCCACGCTGGGTGTGGAGCCTACCTAAAACTAAATAAATAAAAATAAAGGGGTGACTCTTAGAGGAAAACTTAATAGTTTTTAATTTAACAAGATATAACTGATAAGGTCCCTACCTTACCAGCCTGTGACAATAAAATGGCATCATTTCTGTGAATAATAGAATTTATGACACACAAGTTACATCTTGACCGTTCTTGCCGGGTTTATCACAGACTTTTGTGACCTGCCAAGAAAGCTTATGTGTTCTACAAGCCATCTCGTGCAGTGTCCACAGTGCTTGCCACTGCGGCCAGTTGTCCTTGCTGCCACACTTGAGAGTCCTAAGGGTTGGCTCTCACCAGCTCGCTACTGGTTTTTCTCTTCCCATTCTGATTCCCTCCCAAAGTCCATGCTGTGTTGTCTCCTAAATCTCCACTGAGCACTTAGGGGTAAAGAAAAACACAAGCTTGGGGCGCCTGGGTGGCTCAGTCGTTAAGCGTCTGCCTTCGGCTCAGGTCATGATCCCAGGGTCCTGGGATCGAGCCCCACATCGGGCTCCCTGCTCTGCGGGAAGCCTGCTTCTCCCTCTCCCACTCCCCCTGCTTGTGTTCCCTCTCTCACTGTGTCTCTCTCTGTCAAATAAATAAAATCTTAAAAAACAAACAAACAAAAAAAAACCTTAAAAACCAGATACAAGATCTGGAAGCTTATAGAAACCATAGACTGTGCCCATCCCCATAGATTCTACTCTTCAGCCACCTTTTAGTTGCCAGCCTGCTCTGGTGTGGCTGATAACATTTCTCTCACAGAGGGGAATGTAAATATAAATGGGATTTCTATTTAGTTAGTCAACAAATGAAAAGTCTATCACATGCTAGGTAACAGAATTTACCCAATATACCTCAACCTGGTACATCGTTTTCTGCTAGAACACAGTATAACAAAGTTCTAAAGTGTCCTTTAATCTTTAGTTCTTTCCAATTTTTGTCTGTATCTAGAAACTGATAGTCCTGTATTACTGTTTTTTTCACAAATTGAGACCTTAGTGTAATAAGTAACTCATTAACCCCAAGCCACAAGAACATACCTTTCCACATCTGCACAGAACTCCACCATCAAAAGACCAATTTATTGTTCAAATGACCCATGCCAGTCTGTATAAACCAAAATTAGGTATTCCAGTAAATGAGGTTTTGTGGTTAAATGAACTTATTTCTATAAAACACACAAGATCAAATAATGTAGTATAATAATATATTGGGGCCCCTGGCTGCTGGCTCAGTAGAGCATGCGACTTGACCTTGGGGTCATGAGTTTGAGCCCCATGTTGGATGAAGAGACATATATATATAATCTTTGTCCCTGATTCCTAGCAGAGAGCTTCAAAAACCCTTGGAATTTCCTAGGGGATAGAAGTCTCTGTTAGGCTAATCAGGTGAGTAGTGGAGGACCATTCAGAATAGGGCCAGTTCCCAAGAGGACTAATCCTGTGATGGTGATTACAGGGTTGGAACTTTGGGCCAGCCCAACCTTCTGGGAGGACAGGGACTGGAGATTTAGTTCAATTACAGTCACACTGGGCAATGATTTAATCAATCATACCTATATAATGAAGTCCCAGTAAAAACTGCACCAAGGCCGACCAGAGGTTCCCAGTTGGAGAACACTTTGTTGTGCTGGGAGGGTGACATGCCCTAACTCCACAGAGGGGCAGGCAGGCAGCATGCATGCGAGCTCTGTGCTCCCTCCCAGACTTCACCCTATTTTTCTAATAAAAGTGTAATCCTGGGCACCTGGGTGGCTCAGTCGTTAAGCGTCTGCCTTCGGCTCAGGTCGTGATCCCAGGGTCCTGGGATCGAGCCCTGCATCAGGCTCCCTGCTATGCGGGAAGCCTGCTTCTCCCTCTCCTACTCCCCCTGCTTGTGTTCCCTCTCTTGCTATGTCTCTCTCTGTCAAATAAATAAATAAAATCTTAAAAAAAAAAAATGTAATCCTAAGTGTGGTGCTTTCCTGAGTCCTCTGAATGGTTCTAGAGAATTATCAAACTTGAGGTTGTGGGAACCCCCAATTTTATAGCCAGTCAAAAGCATGAGTGTCCTGGGGAACCTCACTCACTTAGAGCTGGCTTCTGAAGTAAGGGCAGTCCTGTGGGGGAACTGAGCCCTTAAACCCATAAAACCTGTGGCTCAGTTGTTAAGTGTCTGCCTTCGGCTCAGGTCATGATCCCAGAGTCCTGGGATCAAGCCCCACATCGGGCTCTCTGCTCCTTGGGAGGCCTGCTTCTCCCTCTCCCCACTCCCCCTACTTGTGTTCCCTCTCTCGCTGTGTCTCTGTCTGTCAAATAAATAAAATCTTTAAAAAAAAAAAAATACCCATAGAATCTGATGCTAACTCGGAGGGGGAGGATCATCAGAATTGATCAAAACGCACCTACTTGGGGGTGAGACTGAATATAAAATTTAGATAACGCACACAAACTTCAATCTACCCTATTAAAGCTGGGAATTCTGGAGACAGTTCACCTCTGTAGGTGGCCTCTTAAAGTTCAAAAACCCAGAGCTTTAAAATGAATTCAGGAATGGGGCCCCCGGGGCCGGCTCACTCAGTCGGTTGAGCATCTGACTCTTGATTTCAGCTAGGGTCATGATCTCAGGGTCATGGGATTGTGCCCTGTATCGGGCTCCCTGCTCAGTGCAAGTCTGAGATTCTCTCTCCCTGTCCCTCTGCCCCCCCCCCACTCATGCACATGCTCTCTCTCTAAATAAACAAATAAAATCCTTAAAAAATAATAAAATGCATTCAGGAAGGTCAGCTTTTGAAGTTAACATCAAATACCAAGTAAAGACATTGCCCCATTGCACACCAGGTATAACTAAATATATTTGAAAATACATGGGGGTGCCTGGGTGGCTCAGTCATTGAGCGTCTGCCTTCAGCTCGGGTCATGATCCCGGGGTCCTGGAATCGAGCCCCGCATCGGGCTCCCTGATCAGCCGGGAGCCTGCTTCCCCCTCTCCCACTCCCCCTGCTTGTGATCCCTCTCTCACTGTGTCTCTCTCTGTCAAATAAATAAAATCTTTAAAAAAAATTTAAAAAATTAAAAAATTAAAAAAAAGAAAATACGTGTTTATTTAAATGATTGTTCTTCCCAGCTTTCACTTGTCAAATGTCAGCCCTGATCATTTGGTTTTACTAAAACAACATTATCACCACAACCAAAAAATCTCAGTAAATCCAGAGGTGCTAAAGTCCCTGGCAAACAAGGATCAGACCTGATTTTTCTTCAGAAGAAGTGAGAGACCACTTTGAGTCTAGAAATACGCAAACTTTCCTGTAAAGAGCCAGATAATAGTTCAGGCTTTGTAGTCTACATATGGTCTCTCTCACATATTCTTTGAAATTTGTTTGTAGAATCCTTTAAAATGCCTGATTTAGCTATAATTTACCTACCCCTTGTCCAGATCCTTAACACCTTCTCTGAGGCCAATCATAGAAAAATATGTCTCCTTCAAAAGCCAGTGGTTCTCAACCCTGGCTAAACATTAGAATAACCTAAAGAGCTTTTATTTTTTAATTTTTTTAAAGGTTTTATTTATTTATTTGAGAGAGAGAGAGCAGGAGAGGTGGGAGGGTCAGAGGGAGAAGCAGACTCCCTGCTGAGCAGGGAGCCCGATGCGGGACTTGATCCTGGGACTCCATGATCATGACCTGAGCCGAGGGCAGTCGCTTAACCCAGGCGCCCATATTTAATTTT